AGAAAAGAAAAGAAGGAGAAAAGAAAAGCAAAATAAAATTAAATACAAGTCTAAAACAAATTCTTCCTGCTTACGTTGGTCTCTGAAGTCCCCACACTCAGACATCAAAGGTTTGAGTACTTGATATGAATAGTTAATCGGTCGGCAGAAGTACAACCCACAGCGACAAGAAAGGGCAGGTATAATCAACGACCTGTGGTGTTACTGTTGTTTATGTGTTACGTCTCGTTTTATGCGTTTTCTATCTCGTTCTCGTGTTTGGTTTTCATTTAAGGAAGGCGTTGTTTGGGGTAATAGATATTTGCCTTTTGCTTTCTGTTCTGTTTGTTTCTGTTTCTGGTACTTTTTTTTTGGGGGGGGGGGAGGGGGGGAGTTGTTGCTTATTTGTTTCACTGTCGAATTTGTTTTTGTTTTTTGTTTTCTACTTCTCTCTCACAGATGCTCGCAAATGTGTAAAGAGAATCTCGCAAGAACTAACAGGAACCCCTCCAACAGGAATCCCCCAGCAGGAACTTTTATCAAGAAACTCCAACAGCAATCCCCACTAGCAGCTCCCCCCCCCCCCCCCCCAACAGGAACCCCTCCAACAGGAACCTTCACCAAAAAGCCCAACAGCAATCCCCACTAGCACCCCCCCTCCCCCCAACAGGAATCCCCCAACGGGAACCTTCACCAAAAAGCCCAACAGCAATCCCCACTAGCACCCCCCCCCCCCCCCAACAGGAACCCCTCCAACAGGAACCTTCACCAAAAAGCCCAACAGCAATCCCCACTAGCAGCTACCCCCCCCTCCCCCCAACAGGAACCCTCCAACAGGAACCTTCACCAAAAAGCCCAACAGCAATCCCCACTAGCACCCCCCCTCCCCCCAACAGGAATCCCCCAACGGGAACCTTCACCAAAAAGCCCAACAGCAATCCCCACTAACACCCCCCCCTCCAACAGGAACCCCTCCAACAGGAACCTTCACCAAAAAGCCCAACAGCAATCCCCACTAACACCCCCCCCTCCAACAGGAACCCCTCCAACAGGAACCTTCACCAAAAAGCCCAACAGTAATCCCCACTAGCAGCTCCCCCCCCCCTCCCCCCAACAGGAACCCTCCAACAGGAACCTTCACCAAAAAGCCCAACAGCAATCCCCACTAGCCCCCCCCCCCCAACAGAAACCCCTCCAACAGGAACCTTCACCAAAAAGCCCTAACAGCAATCCCCAACAAGAACCTATAACAGAACCCCCCCCCCCCCTCCACCACCACCACCAAGAGGCTCCCCCAACCGGAACCGCCACAGGAACTAGCACAGACCGACGGGTTGCCGGACCCTGGCTGGCACCGTGCCCCGCGTCTGTGCCATTTCCACGTCAGGAAGGTATTTTGGCGTTGACGTTGCCATTCTTCACGAGATCGATGGAGAAAATAGTCATCGTCGTTTTCTTCTTCTGTTTATCTCTTTAAAAAAAGGGGGAGGAGGAGGGAAGGAGGGGAGAAGGAGGGGGGGGGAGGAGGAAGAGGGGAAAAGGGTAAAGGGAAGGGAAGGAAGATGGAAGACGAGAGATGAGGAGAAAGGGGATGGGAGAGAGGATTAGGAGGAAGAGGGGGGATAAGAGTAAAGAGAGGAGAGGGGAGATAGGGAGGAAGGAGGATAAGGAGGAAGAGGGGGAGAGGAGTAAAGGGAAGAGAGGGAAATGGGGAGAAGAGAGATATGAGGAAAGATAGGGAGAAGAGTAAAAGGAAGAGAGGGAAGATAGGAGGAGAGAAATGGAGAGAAGGGAGAAAAAATAGGGAGAAGAGGGGGAAAAGGAAAGGGGAACGGGGAAAAGGGGAAGAAGGAAGAGGGAGAAGGGGGGAGAGGGAAAAGGGAAGAGGAGAAGAGGGTAAGCGGGGAAGAAAGGAGAAGGGAAGAGGGGAAGAGGGGGGAAGGGAAGGATGAGGTTCATGACCTGTCTGTCTCTAAGGACGTGGTTTGTATGAGAACTGTTTTGCTGGAGTGTGTTTGTTTGTCTGTTTCAATGCTGGTTCGTTTGTTCGTAATTTCGAGACGTGCTACGTGTTACACAAAGGTTCGCGTGTATGTGTGTGTATGTGTATCTGTGTCCATCCGTATGTACGTACATATGCATGTATGTATGTATGCATGTATGTATGCATGTATGTATATACCTATGTATGTATGTATGCATGTATGTATGTATGTCTATGTGTTCTCGTGCCTGCCTCGCTTTGTCAAACAAATTCAAAGAAACTTCTCGCGGAATTCTAAGTCCATGAACTATTGCCAAAAGAACTACACTTGGCATGACGGATGCTGAATGCTCGGGAAGTAACACGGTGTCGTAATTCGCAGGACGATGATTCTCTTCCCTGCTTTTCTTTCTCTCTCTTTCGCTCTTTTGCTCTCTTTCTCTGGTTTTCTTTTTCTTTTCTTTTCTTATTTTATGTTTTTTTTTCGTTTTTTTTTCTTGTTCTTATTCTCTTTTGTCTTTTTTTTTCTCTTTTTTTTCTTTATTACTCTCTTTCTCTATCTTATTCTCTCTCTCTCTCTCTCTCTCTCTCTCTCTCTCTCTCTCTCTCTCTCTCTCTCTCTCTCTCTCTCTCTCTCTCTCTCTCTCTCTCTGTCTCTCTCTCTCTCTCTCTCTCTCTCTCTTTCTCTCTCTCTCTCACTCTTCTCTCTCTCTCTCTCTCTCTTTCTCTCTCTTTCTCTCTCTCACTCTCTCCCACTCTTCTCTCTCTCTCTCTCTCTCTAACTCACTCACTCTCTCCCACTCCTCTCTCTCTCTCTCTCTCTCTCTCTCTCTCTCTCTCTCTCTCTCTCTCTCTCTCTCTCTCTCTCTCTCTCTCTCTCTCACTCTTTCTCTCTCTCTCTCTCTCTCTCTCTCTCTCTCTCTCTCTCTCTCACTCTTTCTCTCTCTCTCTCTCTCTCTCTCTCTCTCTCTCTCTCTCTTATGTAAGTACAAATACATGTATATGATTATCTCTCAATTTATCTATCTATATCTTTAGCCATCTAACATTTTAAATTTATGCTGAATATTATTTTTTAGTGCAGAGATAATACAATTCGGTTTAATAAGTTAATTGTGAATAAGTGAATGCAAGGGGAAGGTTGGTCTGCAAATATATTTTAATTCTGGTGACTCGTGTTCATTTTTTTTTTTTTTTTTAATAAATGATAAAATGATGATAAAAGTGATTCTGAAAGAATGGCTTTGTGTGGGTACGATTTTTTTTTTTCGACAAAATAACAATATGAAAGATATACTGAGTGGCTGTATCTATCTATCTATCTATCTACCTATCTATCTATCTCTTATTCTTAATCTCTCTCCCTCTCTCTCTCTCTCTCTCTCTCTTATTCTCTCTCTCTCCATCCATCTATCCATCTATCTATCTATATACACATCCTATTGCATAGACTCTGTATACGATTGCATGATTGCATTTGTGTGTATGTGTGCGTTTCCGTGTTCTGTTTGTGGGTGTATACGTGTGTGTATACATGTGTGTGCCCGTATGTGCGTGAGCGTATCTTTGCTCGTAGAGGATTGACGAGGAAATAATTAACTTCTGTTCCTTTATGCAAATTAACCTTTAATTTAGAAATAAGTCCGTTCATCCTCCTGTGTCACATTTGAATATAGAGTGACTGTTTTAGCCAATCTCATGCTTAGTGGCGTATGACATTAAATTCCTAATTGTTAACAGTTAAGGGAACATGTACCTAATGCATCCGTCCCCTCCCCCTTCCGTGTTCCTCTTCCCTCCTTTACGCCTCTCTCTTGTCCCCTCTTCCCCTATTTATTCTACCCTTTTCCTCCCTATCGACTTTTTTTTTACTTATCCCTACAGTACCCTCGCTCTGTCTATCAACTTTTCAACTATTCCCCTCCCCATTTCCCCTTTTCCTTACTATTCCTATTCCTCCCCTACCCGTCCTCTATTCTCCTTCCTACTATCCCTTCTTTTCCTTCTTCTTCCCTTTCTCCTTTTCCTTCCTCTCCCTCCTTCCCTTTCTCCTTCTTTTTCTCCTTTCCCACTATTCCTTCTCCTTCTTCTCTTCCCCTTTTTCCTCCCTTTCCCCTTCCCTTCCCCTCATCATCCCCTCCCCCTCTCTTTTCCCCTTTCCCTCTTCATTCCTTTCCTCATTCCCACTTCCTCTTCGTCTCCCCTCCCCCTCCATCCTCCTCCTTCCTCCTCTTCCACTCTCCTCCATCTCTCCGTTCTGCTCTCGCATCTTTCAATAACTATAATTTCCTTCCTTTCCTGTTCTCCTTTCATTTCCACTCGCCCATCACCACCTATCGCTTAGCACCATTTATCTCTTTTTTTCTTTCCTTTTTTTTATCCACTCTTTGCTCCCAAATCACTTAGATTTCCTGTGCTAATGGGCTACGCGCCGAGAACTCGTTCCTTGTCTGCCTGTCTGTCTGTTCGTTTGTCTGTTTCTGTTTCTCTTTTCTGTCTATCTGTCTGTCTGTTTCTTTCTCTTTATTAATCTCTCTCTGCGTTTGTGTCTCTTTATTACTTTTTCTTTGTCTCTGCCTTTGTATGTGTCTATCTTTCTCTTTCTCTCTCTCTCTTTATCTCTCCCTTTCTCTCTCACTCTTCATCTCTCTTTCTAACTCCTCTTTCTCTCTTTCCCTCTCCTCTCTCTCTCTCTCTCCTCTCTCTCTCTCTCCTCTCTCTCTCTCTCTATTCCCTCTTCCCCCCCCCCTCCATCTCCCTTTTTTTCCATGTTGAACTTTCCTGCTTGTTTTGTGTTTGTCTGTGTTAGAAGGGAGATGAAGAGATGATGATGATGATGATGATGATGATGATGATGATGATGATGATGATGATGATGATGATGATGATGATGATGATGATGATGATGATGATGATGATGATGATGATGATGATGATGATGATGATGATGATGATGATGGTGAGGAGGAGGAGGAGGAGGAGGAAGGAAGGAAGGAAGGAAGGAAGGAAGGAAGGAAGGAAGGAAGGAAGGAAGGAAGGAAGGAAGGAAGGAAGGAAGGAAGGAAGGAAGGAAGGAAGGAAGGAAGGAAGGAAGGAAGGAAGGAAGGAAGGAAGGAAGGAAGGAAGGAAGGAAGGAAGGAAGGAAGGAAGGAAGGAAGGAAGGAAGGAAGGAAGGAAGGAAGGAAGGAAGGAAGGAAGGAAGGAAGGAAGGAAGGAAGGAAGGAAGGAAGGAAGGAAGGAAGGAAGGAAGGAAGGAAGGAAGGAAGGAAGGAAGGAAGGAAGGAAGGAAGGAAGGAAGGAAGGAAGGAAGGAAGGAAGGAAGGAAGGAAGGAAGGAAGGAAGGAAGGAAGGAAGGAAGGAAGGAAGGAAGGAAGGAAGGAAGGAAGGAAGGAAGGAAGGAAGGAAGGAAGGAAGGAAGGAAGGAAGGAAGGAAGGAAGGAAGGAAGGAAGGAAGGAAGGAAGGAAGGAAGGAAGGAAGGAAGGAAGGAAGGAAGGAAGGAAGGAAGGAAGGAAGGAAGGAAGGAAGGAAGGAAGGAAGGAAGGAAGGAAGGAAGGAAGGAAGGAAGGAAGGAAGGAAGGAAGGAAGGAAGGAAGGAAGGAAGGAAGGAAGGAAGGAAGGAAGGAAGGAAGGAAGGAAGGAAGGAAGGAAGGAAGGAAGGAAGGAAGGAAGGAAGGAAGGAAGGAAGGAAGGAAGGAAGGAAGGAAGGAAGGAAGGAAGGAAGGAAGGAAGGAAGGAAGGAAGGAAGGAAGGAAGGAAGGAAGGAAGGAAGGAAGGAAGGAAGGAAGGAAGGAAGGAAGGAAGGAAGGAAGGAAGGAAGGAAGGAAGGAAGGAAGGAAGGAAGGAAGGAAGGAAGGAAGGAAGGAAGGAAGGAAGGAAGGAAGGAAGGAAGGAAGGAAGGAAGGAAGGAAGGAAGGAAGGAAGGAAGGAAGGAAGGAAGGAAGGAAGGAAGGAAGGAAGGAAGGAAGGAAGGAAGGAAGGAAGGAAGGAAGGAAGGAAGGAAGGAAGGAAGGAAGGAAGGAAGGAAGGAAGGAAGGAAGGAAGGAAGGAAGGAAGGAAGGAAGGAAGGAAGGAAGGAAGGAAGGAAGGAAGGAAGGAAGGAAGGAAGGAAGGAAGGAAGGAAGGAAGGAAGGAAGGAAGGAAGGAAGGAAGGAAGGAAGGAAGGAAGGAAGGAAGGAAGGAAGGAAGGAAGGAAGGAAGGAAGGAAGGAAGGAAGGAAGGAAGGAAGGAAGGAAGGAAGGA